TGTTTTCTATTTTATTTTTTTCATTATGCACATTTTCCTGTTAGGTTAAATCTTCCAATCCAAAATAGATGTATCCACCATGTTCCCATGCTTCTCCCTTCATGTTTCTTGTTTTTCTGTAAATCCAAACTCCAAATAATGTGTCCAAGGATTTGGCAACTAAAACTAAGTTAGCAATGAAAATATAATGGATTACCTAATATTGGAAACACTACAAAATTTTATAAAAAAAAAAATGAAGTTTTTCAATTTATGTCAACAATAATTTTTGAAAAAACTATGTCACACTCGATTAAAACTATTTCATAAGAGTCTTCAATTTTGTAGAGTATAAGCAAAGATATATGCACAGCTTAGTTGATAAGAAAGCACACCTGTCGATGCCTATTGTTGCCAATCACAAATGAGATTCAGAGGTCTTGAAAAAGAGAGAGAGAGAGAGAGAGAGAGAGAGAGAGAGAGAATGAGAATAAGAATAAGAAATGGACCATAGCAACTACAAAAATACACTTTCAGTTTATAAGAAAATATTATAGATTAAATTTATACAATCATTTAGTAGAAAAGAATCATGCTCATCTTTAGAAACTTTACACTAAAATAGGTTCTGCATGCTCCAAAATATACACATTCTGTAGTGATTGCTTTACTTGCTAAATATTCCAAAAACAAACTCAAAAAGTAATGATTGAAGAACCATACCATTTGCGGTACATTTTGTGTTCCCATTCCTACATAGCTTTCATTTTTTTTTTTTGTTAAGACACCTTAGCCTTTTCTTTTTCCTTTTGAAAAAGAAATAAAATTTAGTAACAGGGGTTTCAAGGTTTCGAATAAGATTAATTAAAGCATGAGATTAATTAAAGTTTGAACAATATTTAACACCACAAAAACCAAAGTATGAATTTGAGAAATCAAACGGTATGCTACCACAGTATGAATTTAAAAATCAATTAATTTAAAAAATTAACTTATGAATTCTATAAGGGCCTATTTGTTGAAACAGAAAAATGAAATGTCGTTTAGATTTACATATTGAAATCAGTTATATACATAATCATAATCATATATATACATACATACATAATCAAAATTAGAGCAACCAGATAAAACTTTTGCACCCTTGCTATTGGGGTCTCAAAGTTCAGTTTGTATGTTTTATTACATCAATCCAACCCCTAAATAAGTACTGAACATATACATACAGGGATACATTCAACACAACTCTACCTAGATGACAACTAAAAAAAAAAAAATAGGGATAGATACATAATCATACATAAAATTATGTATATAATACACAGAAATGCATATATATATATACATAGATGACAACTACCAAAAAAAAACAAAAACAAAAAAAAGCATTTCAATGTTCATATTTCAACCTTATATATATACATACATATTCCAATCTCTGAATCTCAACAAACTAAGATGAACAAAAAATATGATGAGCAAATTAAGATGAACAAAAAATAAGATGAACAAAAAGTAGAACAAAATTGAAAGAAAGATAAACAAAGTAAGATGAACAAAATTGAAGTGTGATTCTGAGAAGTAAATGAAAACCCTTATGAGATTTTGATGAGAAGTGAAAACCCAATAAGTATATTGAGCATTAGAGAGAGAAATGGACCTGATTCGAGGAGATCTTCAATGTAATCGTTGCCCCAATTCGTTCAATCGATGCTTTGTCTGTGGCTTTTTTAACAGAGCAAACCCATGAAGACAGAAATTCGTTCTTCTGATATTCCGAAGTCATTAACTAAGGGTTTAAAATTGGTTTTGTTGATTAATATGGTAAAACAGAATTAAAAAAACTATCTGATTGGAGAGAAAATAACAAAGAAAAACAACCGAAGCAATGAACAACTGCAGCTTGAAGGCGAGAGCGGGGAGTTTGAGGTGGGGTTAGGAAGAGAGGGGGGACTTAGATCTTGAGGGGAAGGGAAAGGTGTTACCTGAAGGCGAACAGCTGCTACCGACAACAACCACCGAAGCAACGAAGAGCCAGTGAAGTAATGAAGAACCACCGAAGCAGTGATGAGGAATGGGTTTGAATACAACCACTGTAGAGAGAGAGAGAGAGAGATGGGTTTGAAGAGAGAAACAGTGAAATGGGTTTGAAGAGAGAGAGAAACAATGAAATGGGTTTGAAGAGAGAGATGACGAAAAGGCTGAAATGTGTTTGAAATGGGTTTCAAAATTGAAGTATATATCCAACGGTAAAGGTAAAAACACAACCCTCAAATTAATCTCAGCCTTTCAATCTCATTGCCACCTAAGATAGATGTCCCATCTGGTTTGAAAAACAGAGCTTCCTTATTATATAGACTAGAGATAACCCGTGCCTGAAGGCACTGACAACAATTTTTTTGATATCATGTGCTACGAAACTCAGTGGTAATAAATCAATTCAAAATGATAATATTACTCCGATTTAAAACTTCACCTATGATACACAATCCTAAAGGCAATGATAATTCTAAAGCTAATAAATTTAAGAATGTTAATCCTATATAATTCAGCCTGCCTAAACAAAGAATAACTTAGGATTCAACTCTTTCGTCCCCTACAATATATTGAGAAAGAGTAAAATTATTGAATGGACATCCTATAACTTTTAAATGCACAATAAACTTGTAAGAGAACTGTAGTAACCTGTTTGGTTGTATTTTCATTTTCTTTGTTTTCAAAAACAAAAACAATGAAAAGTTAAAAAAACATCCATCATTTTCAAATCCTGCAAAAACCAATTCCAAAAATTTGAAAACATTTATGGTTGCCTACCCATCAATATGATAACAAAGTATAGGTTTCATTCTAGCACATATTCTCTAACCCCTAAATTGATAATGAACACAATCCTCGTATGCACACTAAAAAAAATGGAATGCGGTCCAGCAAGTTAGCGAGAGGAAGAATGTCATCCCTAGTATTGTCCTGAACTTCCCAATTCCCATTTTGCAGCCTCCACAATCAACCATTTAATGGGAGGGTTGGGAAAGGGGGCAGTCCCATTCAAAAATCATGCCTATGTATCATGTTACAACAGCTTTGGGAATTTATTCCTAAGTCTCAAAAATTATTGGCCTATTAAAAGATATAGAAAATTTAAGTCAAGAAAAATAAAAAACCAAAATTAATGTACAATATACAGACAGCGAGAGCGCCGGGGGGGAGGGGGGTGAAGTCCTTTCGGATAAGTAAGTTTACTAACTCTCTGTTTCTGCTTCAGGACATAGCATCCCTCCGTCGATGTCACCATCTTTCTTATCAGAAGCTACCTCAGTCTTCTCCTCTTCCACTATGCTGATGGATGGTTATTTTGGGCGTGTAATGTGTTGATATTGACAGGTGGTTGTAAATATATTAATTATTATTTTGACTTTATAATTGATGGCTTTTTTGATTTTTGATGTGGTGAATTTATTGTAAGGATGGATGGTTATTTTGGGCGTGTAATGTGTTGATATTGACAGGTGGTTGTAAATATATTAATTATTATTTTGACTTTATAATTGATGGCTTTTTTGATTTTTGATGTGGTGAATTTATTGTAAGGATGGATGGTTATTTTGGGCGTGTAATGTGTTGATATTGACAGGTGGTTGTAAATATATTAATTATTATTTTGACTTTATAATTGATGGCTTTTTTGATTTTTGATGTGGTGAATTTATTGTAAGGATGGATGGTTATTTTGGGCGTGTAATGTGTTGATATTGACAGGTGGTTGTAAATATATTAATTACTATTTTGACTTTATAATTGATGGCTTTTTTGATTTTTGATGTGGTGAATTTATTGTAAGGATGGATGTTCACATATGCTATTTAAAGAGAGTTCTTAAAATCTGCTCTGTATATACAGCAACAGAAGTTTATTTAGCAGCAGCCTATAATAGTGTTTCATTTTGTGTTTATAATATAGGTCCATCTGTAAAGCGAGTACGAGGTCCAACTAGGGGTAAGAACAGTAGTAGACTCATGAGCCAACATGGTGGGAAGAAGCTTTTTGTTGGAGTTTCTATTGAGAGGAGGACATTTGTGGGGCTTAATGCCACCAAGGCCGCTAACGAATTGGGGGCACAAATTCGATTGCAAGCCCCATTGCAAGGAACAAAAAATTGGGAGGACGTTCCACCAGTCATTCGAGCAGCTATTGTACAATCCTTGCGGGTAATTTAATTTTTATAGTTGTTGAGATTGAAGTAATTAATATATAAGATGTTTAATTTTCATTTTATGTTTAATTGGGACAGGATAAGTTTGAGATTGAAGGATATGATGAGAGTCCACTTCCACAAGAAATCATTGACACAAAGGCCACACATTTGTTCAAAGGCTGGCGTTATCATATGCATGAACATTACAAAGAGTTGGTGAAAGAAGGTACAGATCCTTATAGTAAACCATTTGTTGGGGTGAGGGAAGAAGATTGGCGATACATGATTGATGAAGTGTTTCTTGGTGACACACACAAGGTAATTAACTTAACAGTCATGGATGTTTCTTTTAATTGCACTACAATGAACCATGCTTGGATATTGATTTTTAAGTTAATATTTCTATTGCATTGTAGAAACGGTCAACAAGAAATATAGCCAACAGGAAAAAGTTACCCTATAATCACACCATGGGTTCAAGGTCATTTTCAGCAGCAATCTCAATTGAGGTAACATATTTTTTGTTTTAAAACTTATAGTTAATGCTGCAATTTTTTTATTAACAATATTACTAAGCTTGCATTTTATATGTTTCATGTAGGGAATTGAAACTGGAAAGGAGCCTCACATTGTAGATTTTTTCAAGACCTCACATTGGAGTAAGAAAAAAAAAGATTGGATTGAACCAGTTTGTGCGGAGTTATATGTAAGTATACCTTCATTATATTTGTTATTCATAGTCCTATATAATGCTTAACTAGTTAGTGTACTTGTAAAATAGGATAACTGTTGATCCTTTTTTTTTTTTTCTTTTCTTTTCTTTTTTTTTTTTAAGCAAAGAATACAAAATCATGTTCACTGTTATCTCACATGTGCAGAGAGTTACATATATACACACATGAAACTACTTATTTGATTTCCAACTAAGAAAAAAAGATCCAATTCAATTCATTTTAAATCTGTTTCTGTTTATTTTTTTTTTCTTTTTTCTAGCAAAGAATACCAAATCTAGTTTAATTGACGTCCAAATCTCATATGACCAAACAAATGCATATTTCATTTGGTTCAGCTTTAATTTCCATGTTTGAGTGAAACAAAAAGAAGAAAAAAAATGTTCTGAACCTTTCATTTGGTTCAGTTTATGTACTCAGAGAAGATAAAAATGTTCTCAGTTTATGTTCCCAAATTCAGCCTAAAGACCCCAATAAATCCAATAAAAAATTACCGATCATAAAGGAAAAAATAGAAAACCCAATGCACATAACCAATAAACCCAATAGAAAACCCCAACTTGACAGAGAGAGTAAACTCATGCCAGGAACCTTTGCAAGAGGAGAGAAACTTCGTAAAGGAAAAAATACATATAAAGCCTTCATAAATCAAAATACACATAACCCCTGGAACTTCTAAGTGAAACTTCTAAGCAAAAATCAAGTGAAACTTCTAAGAGGAGAGAAACCCGCAAAAATATCACTTGCAAATTTGTAAGTTGTAGTTTACCTATGAATAGTTGGAATGTCGTCACAAGAGGAGAGAGGCAAATCAGGAGGGCGAGAGAAGAGAGTCCGTGGTCGGTGGTCGAAAGAAGAGAGGAGAGAAAGAGGTGAGGAGAAGGAGAGAGAGAGAGAAGAGCGTATGAAAGAGAAGGGATATCTCTGAAATGAGAGAGGAAGGATTTGGGCAGAGATGAAACAGGAGAGAGGAAAAGCAAAGGCCAAATCTGGACCATCCAGAGTGAATAACAATATTGATCTCAACCATTGAAATGTCCTTGTAGGACAAATGAGAATGAGACATTTTTAGCCCTTGGATTGAAGCAATCTAATGCTTCATATTTTGACACATAGACATTTTCAATTTTGAATTCAAAATCAGCCTTCTATTGTTATATAGATATCTGAGGCACACAATATATATACATACTGGAATCATACATAAAGAGGGGGTTTGGGGTTTGAAAAATACGAAATGTGGTTTAGATTTCCATACTTACCACATCTGTAAAATTAATTTAACTCCTAATAAAATTAATAAAATTCAAACTAATAATAGATTAATTTAAGTCCTAATAGATTAATTTTGCAAACTAATAAAATTCAAATGTTATCGAATGAAAAAAAAAAATTTCTGAAACCCTTCTTTTCTTGAATTCAAAATTAGGGCATTTCACTGGATTAGGATGACAATATATTTGAAGATTGCATTTTTTTTTTAAAAAAAAATTTGAATTATTTTCTCATGTTCTGAATCCACAATTTGATTTTTTTCCCCTTATCTAAAACCACTCCCATTTTAAAATGAAAATTAAGGCTTTTGATTCAACTGTTTTAGTATTTGAAAATCAAACTAATCAATGATCAAAATTGCATAAATTAAATCATTCAAGAGATGCCAATGGGGAACTAGTTGTGGCATCTTTGAATTAAACTCATATTTTCTTAGTGTTGTGGCACAGGTATATAAGGTATTGTTGATTGCTGTGGTATCTCTCAATTAGCTAGCAATTTGAACCAAGTATGGATTTGGAGTGCTTTATTGTTTCATGAAATTGATGGGTTCTGTTCACCTTTGATTTTTTTTAAGCAACCTTTTTTTGTTTTCCATATAACACAACCCCATCTATATATTACTTATCTATACACATGTCTAATAATCTATTGTCATAGAAAGTTGATTGGTCACTCAAAACTATGGCTCTTTTAATATAATCTGAACATTTGAATCCAAGTTTATTACATTAAATTTTTAACTTTGTTTTGGTATGTATTGCTTGGTTCATTTTAATTTCATTAGATGAACAAAATGTGCACTTCAAAACCATCAGTTGAAGGTTTAGGTCTATCATGCTTGGAGCTCATGATGCTATTTGGTGAGTTTTGAAAATTAAAAAAAAGAAAGAAAGAAGAAAAAAAGAAAAAAAGAAAAAGAAAAAGTACTATCTTTATGAGTGATAATATTGAAATAGGAAGCCCATTAAGGAAATTGATAGCCGTAGTCAATTGGTATTGCACTAAACATTTAACATGTATCCCATGTTGATGCAAAAATATTTAGAAGACCTTATCAATCAGAAAAACTCATTTTTTGCAAAGCATCTATCTATGCAAACTTTGTGATTATAATATCTATGAAGACAAATTATGGATCAATTAAATTTTGTTATTATGACATGGATGTGGTTGTGTTTGCCTAAAGGCATGTATCCTTAGGTTAGATTGTGTTTAACTTCATTTTTATTTTTTTGGGATTACAGAGCATTAGATGGTGTATATTGTTTAGTGTTTAATTTTAATTTTTATTTTTAGGGATTGCATAACACTGATTGGTGTGCCATTTATTACACACAAAAAAAAAAAAAAAGAAAAGAAAAAAAAACACTGATTGGTGTGCTTTATTTGGTATTCATTATTATCTTTTTTGGATCGCAAAGCATTAAGAAGTGTATAATAGGCCTTGCTAGTGTGCTTTTTGATAAGTTATTCTCTTTTTTTTTTCAAATTTATATATATATTGTTGATGTGGGCCCTATACTTTGGTGTTTGCTTAGAGTTTAAACATGGATTCTTCAAGTTTCCATAGCACTTGGCATTTTCAATGCATAGAAACATATCTATATTACATTTCCCAAATAGATCATGGAAATTCACTCAAAGCGACGTATTAAAGAATATACAATGAAGTGAAATTCTACTTAACATAGGTTTAATGGTCGAAACTTTTCAAGTATTCTTGGTTTCTATGGAATTATCATGATGGGGTGATAGGTTATATATATTTAACAATTAATCAATAGCTTGTATTTAGCTACTTGTTTTTAATGCAGTATTTTGTTCATAATTATAGTCTTATTTCTATGGCAAACGAAAAAAAAAAAAGGCATTCGCAGTTATAAACTCTAGCTAATTAAGTAATAAGAAACAATCTTGAGGGCAGAATGGATAACAAAGGCTGGAAACCAGTTGTACGAAGAAAAGGACCGGTCAGGTATTCAGGGGATCGTAGGGGAGGGGGTCTATTTACAATTTTTGTAGACAACATCCCTGAGTCCATGAGCCCCAAAGGTCTATTTGGCTTATTCTCCAAGTTTGGTGTTGTTAAGGACATGTTTATACCAGTGAAAATGAGGAAGCTAACAGGTTCGAGATTCGGTTTTGTTCGGTACGATTGTCCAGTAGCTGCTGAGGTAGCAGTGCAAAAAGCAGATGGGTTATGGTGTGATGACAAAGAGATAAAGGTCAAACGAGTAAAGTTTACCAAAGAGGAGAGAAGTATTACAAGGGGGGATAAAGTGAGCCATCAACCAGGAGGAAATCCTCAAGGGATGCTGAAGGACAGTGAGACTGTCAATATAGGCGTCCAAAAGGTTGGCATACAGAGATGGCGAGATTATGGAGGGAGTAAATCCTATGTCGAGGTGGTTAGAAATGGCAGCAGCTATGGGAAGAAGGAAGCAATTGTTCAGGTTAGAGAAGTAGGAAATAGGTGGCTGTATGAAAGCCTAGTTGTCAAACTCCATAAAATTTTCTCATTCCCAGCTTTCAAGGAGGAATGCAAGAAGAGAGGTTTGATGAAGGTGCAAGTCAGAGCAAAGGAATGAAGGATAGCAGTGTTATCATTTCAATCAGTTCAGGATTTGAAGAGTAGTCAGGAGAGTTTAAAGGAATGGATCTTTAAATGGTGTAGTTCAATGGAGGAGTGGCATCCGGGGTACATAGTTGATTATGAAAGATGTGTATGGGTAACCTGTTATGGTATACCCTTTAATTTGTGGAGTGTGGATACATTTCGAAGCATTGGTGTGATATGGGGAGAAGTCATGCAATTTGAAAATTATACTATTAATAATGTCTCATTCCACTGTGGCAAAGTTAGAATTATAACCAAGAGTCTAGACTTCATTCACCAGACGGTGAAGCTATTTTGCAAGGAAAAAGTGTATCCAGTAAGAGTCTGTGAGAATTTTGATTCTACAGCAGTAACGGAGCAGGCTCCGTGCAATTGTATGACCAAGTTGTTGAGAAGATAGGTAATGTGGGGAAAGATAAGGATGACTGCGGCTCCGAGATAAGTGGTAGCCGGCAAAGTAGTGAAGAGGTGGTAAAGGGGAGGGATGACATGGAGGATGAGGTGGAATTCTGTAAGGAGGTGGCTGGTTCTCGTAAAGCCACGTCAAGAGGTAAAAGTGGGTTAGAAACAGGTAATGCTAGCTGGGTATCAGAGACAAGGGTGGCAAGTGAGGAGTTGCTTATTGAGAAACCAAACGATGGAAGTTGCCATCAGAGAAAGGTTAGCATGCTGATGCAAGTACCAAGAAGGGTTAATGAGCATAAGGAGGTAGTAGTTGATGATCATTTACTCACACTAGGTTTTGTTAAAAGTCTGAATAGGTCTAATGTAAGAAGGCCCAGCATTAATCTGGAAGTAGTCTTACAAGAGGCCCAATTACTAGGCGGGTCTGATAAGGTGTTAAATAGCACAGATGTGTCCCAAGCCTAAAATGGTCTGGTCCAGCTCCATCCGCACCCTTTAGGTCTGTCTCAAGTCCAACTGACTGAACAAAGTCATCGTGTCACCAAGAGAAGTGAACCAGTGATGAAAAAAAGTAATCGTGTAAGATAAATTGATAGAGAGAGAGAAATTGATAGTATTATTGATTGATGTATTGATTGATTTATCTGTATATTACAATTCCTATATATATAGAGGAGAAGATGGTAGTAGGTGTAAGTGGTAGTGGAGGTGGTAGGTGGAGTGAGTGGTAGTGGAGGTGGTAGGTGGGTGGTAGTTTACATTTTACAATTTACATTTTACATTAACAGAAGATATGACGGTAGGAAGGGAGGATCAACCAGTCGGAAGAAGCATATGTTGCACAGCAACAAAGTATCATTCTCCAGAGGATTTAAGAGGGGTGCGTTATTCAGGGCGGCAGCTGCAGCCATCTCACACACAATGTCCCAGACTAGTAGAT